AATATTACAAGATATTAAAAAATATGATAAGAAGATTGTTTTAGATAACACTACTTTAAATTATTATACAAGAAGAATTCATAATTAAACACGATACACTTATATTATCGATAAGAATTTTCTATAATATATCGTAGATTATTAATATTTCTTTGATGAAGTTTTTTCAAAGGCATTGTGAAATTAGAAAACTTAATAAGTATTTTAATCAAAGTTATTAAATGTTGTAAATTGCGTTTATAAAAGACAAATTACGTTAAAGTTACTGGAAAATGCTGGTTATAAAGACATTTTATTTCTCATTAAGATCAAGTAATTAAGAATATTTCGATTACTGGATACAATGTATTATATTGTATCAGACGAATATTCAATTTCTTAAAGATAACAATGCATGACAATGAATTCCTTTGAATGTACATTAACCTTAATCATATCTTCGATGTACATGCAGCTCTAACCCGTAATTGGCATGTTTTTTATAAGAGAAAAGATGTTATTGAAATAATGAAAAAAAACTTGAAAAAAACGAATGAATGGTAGACATCAAAACGAATAAACAATGTAAATATCAATATAAAATATACCGAATATTAACACCTTACTTTTGTTTTTTTATCAATATAAAATAATGCTTCCCATGGGTTCTCATGAATAATTTGATAAACCTACTAATAATTAAGTAAACAATCTAATATTATATCTGTGTGATGAGATTTTTTAATTAGGTCAGAAATGTTTTAATTATACATAAAACACACATATAGAATTCAGAAAATATTGACAATATATTACACAGGAATATTAATAATTCTGCACGACATTCTGCATACAGATGTTAGATATATACATTAAGATAACTGTATTTACTTTTAAACGCATATTGAATACTAAATACTGAGTTCTAACTTACTCTATTTAGTCTCGAAACAAATGGCTTTCGAAACAGCATGACGCGACATTTCATTCGAAACGTCGCTATCGCTTATATAATATGCATGCATTGGTGCAACTTGTTCAAAGTATATTTTATTGGCAATTTCAATGCGTCTTCTAATTTGCTCCTGTCCCAAGTTCAAATATATTTGCATGACGGAAAAGTAAAATACAATATATCGAAGCTCTATTCTTCCCTCTCTTTGAAAGTGATTCACTGATTTCTTCACCATGACACTTTTTCCAATCCGTTAAGTCGTATATTGTATTCCAATATACCTTGTACGTTGAAAAGATATAACAAATACATAAAAAAAATAATACTACTCTTCTCTAAATTTTAATAAAGGTTATTTTGTATTACTTTTTTATTTACAATTATTTAAGTTTTAAGTCATACGATTTTTGTTGGAAACTATTATTTTCCAAAAACACAATTCTATCTTGCAGTTTAATTAATGATGCGCTTTTTATCCTTTCCTTATTGAACCATCTATTCATTCTATCTTGATCGAAACGGACGTGGAGAACACTGGAAGACGACATGTTAGAGAAACGTGTGAGCTTGTGGCAGGGTGGACCTAGTACAATTATCCGTTATCGCGATCCTCTAGGACAGGAACGATTAATCCACCGTGCGACAATAACTTTTAGGGATTTGATTAATCAGTGCGAACACATCCCAGCCAAACAGTCCCGATTTCCAATACATTATCGAGAATTCATCAGCCAATTTAATTAAGCCATTCAATTATAAGTCAAACATCTATTATCTATATATTTCAATATTCTTACTTTCTTACGCATCACTAATAACTGTACTTCAATTAATAATTCTATTAGAATTGTAAATATAGAAACACAATATAGATTTGCTTTTACAAACTCTCATTCTGCCAGTAAAATAGAATTATATTTCTTTGATATCAATTCGAACCTAATAAGAACTTGTATGTGGAGCTTAATTTTATTAATTTTATCTTATTGATTCGAAACAGAACAATGAATATTATTTGTTTTTTTTTCTGATTCCGTCGTTTTAAATTGCGGAAAAAATTACATTCCGACGTACGCGAATAAAGTATTCTTTAATTGTTTTGTAAAATGGTTCTCGAATATCCTACATGAATAGTATAATCTGAAAATGTGAGGAAGGTTTTCTCGGTGAGCGTTACACGTACAAATATCGAACTGTTTGCGAGATATGAACCGTTTCGAAGTTGTCACGCGAACGTCGCCTTTTATCCCTTTATCCTATAGCAGGTTCAGAAAACGTATTTAGGTACTTGGACTCTCCATGGGGACGAGTGCCGGACGCGGACTTTCTCAGACCAGCCACCAACTACCAATCATCACCATCACCAACCACATCCACACCTCCACAACCGCACATTAAAACAAAAAAAAAACAGTCTTATCCTTGATCGCTTCACCAGCACGGTGAGTCTTACTTCTTTCTTCTTTTTCTATATAATATCCTGTTTTAATCCTTTATTACGCGATTTATTACTCTCAAAAGTACTTGGTTACCTAAGAATCGAATTCGTTTCCTAATTACAATTTAATTTTGTATCCTGCTTTTCAGAAGATCTTCTGAAAAAAATTTGTGTTTTAATTTTTTTATGTATATAATTTTTTTTTTAATAAGCCTTTTTAATACCATGCGTCATTAATGAATTATTAATGTTAGTAGCTAAAAAATTCTAGTAACTCGAATTATTAAAATTTTATAATTGGTTATTAAAATTTTTAATGAGTTTTTACTTTGCAAAAAGTTTTAAAAGTTAATTAAAAAGTCAGTTAACAAAAATGTAATTGATTCTTCTACGCGCGCGCGAGAAAGAGAGAGAGAGAGAGAGAGAGAGAGAGAGAGAGAGAAAACTAAAAAAGAATATTAGATTTGTAATTACACTATTTTTTACGAATATTTCATATTTTTGTGCAGCTTATATATATTTTTATATTTTTCATATTACATTATATGAATGACTAATGATTTACAATCTTGATATGTAATATACTATACTTAACATGAATTGAGTAGAATTTTACTGTTGTACATAGTTATTCAGAGAAGTGCTATATAATTTGGAATTCACTTTAAGGTTTTCGAGAAATAAACGTATTCTCTTAGGTTTCACGTACTTTGACGAGAGATAGCTTCTATTTTCTCATTTCTGTACCAATTGCTTTTGTCTATGCACATATCTCCTTTGCTTAAATCCGTTCTTAATGTAAAAGACATTTTCACATTTAATAATTTGCTATCAAAACCAATATTGTAATATAATATTGTATAATTAATATTAATTCATACAATCACATTATCGTCAGATAGTAAACAATTACATGATTAATCTAGCAAATAATATCAAATAACATGTTATAATAAATCATTATGTAATAATATTAACAGTGTCAGAATATTTTCATACATTTTATTTTGATCATTTTATAAATATACAGTAATGAAGTATGATTGAATCATCAATAAAAGAAATTATAAATATGTATTAAATATGTAAATATACGTAACGTCGCTATATTAATTTTTACATTGTATAAAATATTATGTTTTTGAACAAAAACAATACAATATTTTATATTTTCGTATTTAATATTTTTTTTATCTGCTATTAACATATAAAAGAGAAATTCACATAATACGAAAAAAAATTTTGCGGTTCTCCTTTTTTATATATATTTACTTTATTTTTTATTATGCAAAATGTACAAAAAAGCAACGACATAATATTAAAGATGCCATTGTAAAAAGAAATTTCAATATAGATCTAGTAATAATAATGACACAAAATATCAATGTGTTATCATTATTTTTTATTTTATAAAAATTAGTAAAATAGCTATGATGTAAAATAATTTCTTTCGTTATAAAAATGTATATAATGCATAAATGAAAATTAAACTAATGTACTTTATTTGTAGATAACAAATATTATAACTGATAAATTTTACAGACTTGTCACGTCGCTATATGAATCACAGAGTATAAATGCAATACATATAAAGTATAAATGCAATATATAATGCAAGTGCAATAAAATAGCATTTATATTATTATGCATTTTATTTGTTACTATCTTTTAAGTATTGCGTTCCGATAAATGTTATTTGTTTTTGTAAAAGTTATAAATGGAATATAGCATGGCATACATATGCTTCCGCATGCTTCGCAAGATTTTGAGAATAATGTTACGAGCTTTATCATTTTGTGCATGATTTTTATATACGTATACAGCGAAGATAATTTTTTAAATTTTTCTTAGTACATATAAACAGACTAATATTATTCTTTAGTTATATACTTTTTAGTTAATACATATTTTTAAGTATTGCGGACATATAATTTTAGGCCTGGGCGAATCGACAGTATAAATTCATTATTTCAAATAATTTGTATCTATCGATAAACATATCTAGTATTTAATTAATCAATTATTCAAAAAATCTGAAGACTATAATTGATAAATTCATATGTAATTGATAAATTCATATTTAATTGTTTCATATTAAATTGTTAAACGTTTTGCATATACAAAGTATTATTCGTAAAATCAATTGTATACAAAATTTAGATATAACTATCCAATCAATTTTAAGGCATAATTTTCTTCAACAACATTTCTAATTTAGAATTTATATTAAAATAATAAATATTGAATTTATAGTTTAATATATATTATTTATAATTTAGTATTTAAAATTAATTGTAAAGATTTGCAATAAAATTAAATATTAATTTTACAGATTTTAACGTCGAAAATTTCAGCGTTTGCCAAAGCCTAAACTAATAATAAATTCACACTGAATATTACAAATACACCTAATTATACATATATGTTGTGTGATTAACCGTCCAAACGATTGAATGGCATTTAAATTATTGTTTTTACAATGCCATTTATCACATCGATATGTCAATCAGCTGGAACAATACGTCACACTGCAATAATAGCAACAGCGACAACAACAACACACTACAAGTTTACATTACAACTTCAATTAAACAAAAATGAACGTCAATAGTGTATCTAATTTTTCAGTGTGCAAACCGGGTTGGAACCACGACAATGGCAACTGCTTGCAACAATGTCCACCTGGAACTTACGAAATCCAAAATGACGATGATTCCGGTGCTTTCTGCACCGCATGCCATTACTCGTGCCTATCTTGCAAAGGACCTAGTTACACGGACTGCATCACTTGTCACACGGATTCAATGTTTACGTGGAACAACGGAAGGCCACTGTGCGTGCTAAGTAGCATTTCCTGGAAAATGCAGTCCACAGTATGGTTCCAAAGATTAACTGTGGCATTTTTGGTCAATTTGGGCCTAATAATTGCTATTGTCATTTACTTTGTGTTCACCTGGTACATCCGTAAACGAAAATCCGTCCATAAATACAGCAAAGTATGTTATTCCAATAACGGTGAAATTCATGCGGATACAGAATTGGACAATACTTATGTCTCTGAAAGCGAATGAGTCTATCAATGACGATGGAGAATATTCTTGAATGAAAATTCTATTTTTGAAAGTATTTAGAACATTTTATTTCGTGTCTTTTTCAAAAATGTAGGATGATACCCTACATTAACATATTGAATATCAGAATATGTTTTGCAGAAATTTTTGGAAATATTTTTATAGAAAATATATATTCTTATTTTCATAGAAAAAATATTTCTGAAATAATTTCTTTGCAAAGAGAGACAGAGAGAGAGTAGCTCGAGAATATTAATAATAATTTAAATAATATCGTAGCGTGAGAATGTTTTTTATTAAAAATGATTTTGATATTAATAGTTTTTTTTAGCTAAAAACTAAATAAATATTTAAAAGTAATTTAATAGAGAGAGAGAGAGAGAGAGAGAGAGAGAGAGAGAGAGAGAGAGAGAGAGAGAATGAATATAAACATATACATTTTAAGAATATTCTTTGAAAATGCAAATTTAGAGAATATTCTGAGGTTGTTCGAAAAAGCATCTAGTAATTTAATAAAACGCCTGAAGATATGTAAGAATTTTTATACATGTGTAAATATGATAAAGTTATTTTTATTACATATGTTTATATGTATATTATATATTATAATGGAATATATTATATAATATATTTATATATACATTATAACAGGATATATTTATATTTTATAGCATATAAAAGTATTGTTATATGCATAATAAACATAATTAACTTAATGCTTTACATACGAAGTAAAAATTTAGGGAAATGACAGAAATATTCAGCAAAAACTTTTCGAGAAAAAATTGTGAACACTTTTATTCTAATAAATGTTCTGTTTCATTTGGTGTATACAAGTTCAACACCTTCCATTAAGTTTTGAAGCGATACTGCATTTTTGCAAGTATAGAAATGTCCCTTTGTAGAAGCAGTTTGCAAGATGTCTGGAACGTAAAGCGTTAATGATGCCGATAGTTTCCTTTGAGATGAAGCAATCGCTTCGTTGCGACGCCAGTATTGTAGCAATAGTTTGTGACAACGGACCGTTTATCGATCGTCAGTGAATTAATGTCTCCTGATGCTGAGGAGCGATTTTATGCGATCCAATGATTCTTATATTTGCGCGGTCATCTGGATATCTATTGTGTTATTAAGAATGAAAGTGACGAGCGCTAGTTTGTAATCAGACTAACACGATCACAATACCTAACTTTATAGACATTCAACCAATCGCGAATATATTACCTACCTATATATATATTTTAACTGATAGATTTTAATTAGTTTAATATGTAACGTAATTTAGATTAATGTGAAAAAGACTTTAAAATAGATTGAAAGTATGAATTAAAAAATTAATTAAAGAACATACATTCCTAGTTACAGAAAACAATATTTTGTTTGTTATCTACATCGTTTGTATGTAATTAAATTCCTATACTAATAAGCAATGCAATACATGGAAATTGAATTAACAAAATTATCACGTCATATTGTATATGTAATGTGCATATCCCGTGTCGTACATTAATTCGAAGTGATGAGAGACCGACTAGATTTATTGCAATTAAAAACCGACAATAACGTAATTTCAGTATTTAAACGAAACTAACGGTAAAATATATTTTTGTAAGAGCAGTTTACCTCAGTAATGTGATACAGTTGTTAATGTAAATTATAGATCATAAATCTCATCGCTACTGCAATTAACTGTAATTGTTACCAATAATTACTGAATTACAATGTTCTTGTTAACGTTGTAAACTGAATAAAATAACAAAAATATTAATGAAAGCATCAATATGATTTTCATCATTTATCCTTCAAAAAAGATTAAAATCCTCGTAAAAATATATATATTTCATAACATTTTACTTTATTTTTAAAAAATCGCAAAAGCTTATAAAATAATTTTTGTTTTATACATCCCTCAATTATTAAAATCTTTATCACAAAGTGTACACTTCATAACACTTTGTTTTATTTTCAAAAAATTACAAAAACTTATTAATTTCTGTTACATTTATTTTCATTTTTGTATTTAAAAAATTTAACTTTTTCGATTCACTGATATGTATATAATATAACACATCCGTTTTTTACATTGATATAATTATTTTTTTCTAATTTACAGTTTAACGTTGGACTGTCATCGACCATCGACGAAGCCAATATTTAATGCCAAAATACAGAAATTAGAGGTGGCGGGATCTAATAAATGTAATCACAGTAATAAGCATAAAGATATACATGTGTATAAAAATAAATAACTAGCAAACAGAGACTAAATAATTTAATTTCTTTTGAAATTTAATTATAACCACATTAAAACAATGAATTTGTATTACGTGCATTGCGGAAAAACAAAATTATTATTGTGGGTTGTGTTGCGTAAGTATATAATTAATCTGCAGTACCGTCAAAAATCGTTGCTAACGAGCAGATTCTCGACGTAATCAATTGGTTGCTTATCCTAATCAATGAATTCATCTGACACGACAGTAGGGCTTATCGCGTTACATAGACAAAACAACTTGTTAATTGTTGCCAATTAATATTCCCCAGTTTCGGTTTGTTGAATTGTCAAATTGAGATTCATTTTCACAGTAAGTATAGCAGGTGTGTGCGTGTTTGCGGAAGACACATTGCAATGTTGACATGAAACTAGGATCTAGACAAAGCGAAACCGTACCGCAGAAAGGTTTATTTAATATTTTTTTATTATATTTTCGCGCAATGTTTATTCGATCACGGAAACATCAGAGTGTGACGTAATCGAAACATGAAACTTTATATTTCACATGGAAATGTACAATCAAATATTGAATCGAGTGCATTGGTAATCGCTTTATAAAGATCAAATGAAAACACGGTGATGATGTATTTTCTGAAAAAAAGAATATTTGTGCGTATTTACTGCCTGTGAAAAGCTGCCCCCATCAATATTCAATAGCACAACATATCGGGTTTCGTTACTAGGTTTGTTATTGCAGCATGTCAAACGTACGTGGTTTTAATACCAAGTATACAAGTGAATGTTACGGATAAAGGATATGCACATCGAGCATAAATTGCACGCTTATGTCGCTTCATAATGCTGCACTCAGTTAAAGGTTCAATTGCACAGATGAAACACGATACACGCACATGTTCGAAAAAAATTTTAATTCGACATTTACATTGCATATCTCTGTAACTCAAAACTTGAAAGTTAAATTTAGTTTAAAAATATTTTTTTGACATATCCTTAATTAGTCATGGAAATTTAAACCTTACTTTTAATTAACCAGAGAGAAAATTAAATTTTTAAATAATGATATAGATAAGAAACGATTCTATAATAAATTACATAATCAATTTATTACTAGGGGGTTGCTCCGAAAGTTTTCATAAAATCATGAGGAAATGTTCTCGTGATAAATTAATTTTCTTTCAAAAGTGTCAACTTTGAATATGTCTCACGTTTTGACGGTGAACAGATGTTTATTGATACAGGCAAGTGTCATTAAAAGAAAAAATAAAGTTAACGTATCAACAGTTTTAATGTGACATGACTCCTAATGCTATCTTATGGAAACTTTCAGAATGCTCTGTATTTAAGTATTAACGGCAACTGAATACACTGCAAATTGTATTATTTCGAGTTTTAAAAAAATTGGTGGTGGAGAAACAGCGCGTTAACTTCACGCTGTAGCATGTTTTAGGCAATTTCCTTCGCGTGAAAATTACCGGGAATTACTCGCATAAATTGTCAATTTACCACTACGACCGATAATTAAAACTCATTGAGCGCGACAGTCGTAAAAACGATACCAGTGTTTTCCTCGCGATTGCGTTATTCTCCATCGACCACCGGCTCGTACTCGCAATAATTCATGAATCATAATTTCGCGTGTACTCAAACGACCACCTATGCCAACATGCCGCTGCTTTCGCAAATAATAAAATTTTTCACTACGTACCTTTCTCCGTAAAGCAAAGTACGCAAAGAGCAAACTGCTGTTGCGTCTAGACGAGTAGCGCTATCTTCACGGGTACGAGATGAGAGCATAAAACGACCGGATTTATATGACGCGGCGTCAAAATCCACGTTACCATGCAGGCGCGAATATCCACGAAAAGCATCCGCAACATCTTTTTCCGACGAACTGTTTGCATCACAATGCACTTTTCAACAATAAAAAAAAAAAACACGGTTATGGCGAATATCACTGTAAAAAAAAAGATCCTAAAATATTCAACAGCATTTAAAAATGTTTATTCTTCTTTCATTTCTTTAATAACTTTTTTTTTTGTTAATGCAATGATGTTTTTGTAATACAAGTTTAATTTATAACGGGAAACAATTTATTATAAAGCGACGGCTCTTTTTATTGAAGCATATATTTTGTGCGATTTAGTTATTTAAAATAAAAATTTAAATTGTGACACATACATTTATCCCAAAAGCATACATTTAAAAAAAAAAATTAATTGAACCGGTAGATAATAGAAAGTTATAAATTATTTGATCATTAATATTTACAAATAATTTAGCTACATATCTTTATGATGTGCGTTTAAATTCAAATCATATTTCGCTTGGTGCTTTGAATTTTTCTACGAGTTAAATGTAAATTGTCTATTATTTTCGGATTAAAGGGGTAGCGTAATATATAACACGGCAGTGTCGTGCGCTTGGCTTAGCGACGAGACACTACCGTGTCTCCAGATACGAATAGTAATCAGTATTCCATTAAAAAGTCATAATAAGTTTACATACGTTACATTGATAATTAATTTAAAATACAAAGAAACAGGATATTTGGCGTGAATTTAAGAAAATACTAAATATTTCGGGACAATGGTAACTCAGCTAGCATACGGTTTTGAAATTTTCCTAACATATTGTGTGTAATACATGTCGCTGAGTTATGATTCGTACTTCGAGGCTCAGAAAGGTAGGTAACACATAGCATTTACATTTATTGATCATTTGACTTCATTTTACTCGAAACAAAGATGTGTTTTATTCCACATAT